GGGGTTTCACCATGTTGACCAGGATGGTCTCGATCTCTTGACCTCGTGATCCACCCGCCTCGGCCTCCCAAAGTGCTGGGATTACAGGCGTGAGCCACCGCGCCCGGCCCTAATTTTTGTATTTTTAGCAGACGGGGTTTCACCATCTTGGCCAGGATGGTCTTGAATTCCTGACCCTGTGATCCCAAAGTGCTGGGACTACACACATTGGGCCACCGTGCCCCACCTGTTTTATTTTTTACTAGATGTTAGATTTTGCTGTGTTGCCCAGGCTGGTCTTAAACTCCTGGGCTCAAGTGATCCTCCTGCCTCAGCCGCCCCAGTAGCTGGGACCAAAGGTAGGCACTACCAAACCCGGTTAATTTTAATTTTTTGTAGAGATTGGGTCTCCCTATATGGCCCAGGGTGGTCTTCAGCTCCAGGGCTCCAGCAATCCTCTTGTCTTGGCCTCCCAAAGTCCTGGGATGACACCATGAGCCACCATGCCCAGCAGTCAGGTGTTTTTTTTTTTTTTTGAGACAGAGTTTCAGTTTGTTGCCTAGGCTGGAGTGCAGTGGCATATAGTCTCAGCTCACTGCAACCTCCGCCTCCTGGGTTCAAGCAATTCTCATGCCTCAGCCTCCCATGTAGCTGAGATTACAGGTGTGCGCCACCACGCCAGCTGATTTTTTTGTCTGTAATTTAGTAGAGATGGGGTTTCATCATGTTACCCAGGCTGGTCTAGAACTCCTGACCTCAGGCAATCCGCCCATCCTGGCCTCCCAAAATGCTGGGATGACTGGCGTGAGCCACCGCGTCCCGCAGCCACAGGTTTTGCATGTTGGTGGATGGCAGTCACATCCCATCGGCTGTGAGAAACCTCGAGATGCTGCCCTGAGGCAGGATTCCTGGGTGTAGCCCAGGCCGAGGTGTTTTCAGTCGTCCATGGGGGCTGTGACAAACCGCAGTTTGAGGGTCTAACCCAGGGTTCTCAGTGAGGATGACCTGCCCCCAGGGGACATTAGTCCATATCTGGGGACATCTGTGGTTGTCACAACTGGGGGAAGCCCCTGGTGGAGAGGGGGTGGAGGCCAGGGATGCTGCTCAGTGCCCTGCAGTGTCCAGAGCGGCCCCAGACCAGAGATCAGTGTGGCCCCAGTGTCCACAGTGCTCAGGGCAAGCTTGTCCTGGGGACCCTCCAGACACTCCACGTCACTGTGGCCACCCCTAGATGTACAGTAGCTGCTGCGTCTCCAGCACGTGGGACAATGGCGTACTTCGAAGGCGTTTCCCAAACGCTGTGGGGGAACAAGGGAAGGGCACACCCTCGTGGCACACCACGAGCAGCTCATCACAAAGCTTTTTCCACCTTTCTTGTTAGGTTTTTGGAATAGTCTCCCTGTCCACCATGCTGGAGTGCAGTGGCACGATCTCGGCTCTGTGCAACCTCCACCTCCCGGGTTCAAGCGATTATCCTGCCTCAGCCTCCCAATTAGCTGGGATTACAGGTGTGCGCCACCATGCCTAGCTGATTTTTATATTTTTAATAGAGACGGGGTTTTACCATGTTGGTCAGGCTGGTCATGAACTCCTGACCTCAGGTAACCCACCCACCTCGGCCTCCCATAGTGCTGGGGCAACAGGCGTGAGCCCCCTGCCCCCGGCCCATTTTTCCACCTTTCAATCCACACAGCAAAGTAGGCTGGGCCAGAACTCAGCCCGGGGGCTTTTTAGAAGGGGAGATAGAGACCACCAGGAAGAGAAGAGCTTTGCTCAGGGCCACATGCGAAGGATGCTGGGCTGGGAAAAGGGATGTGCGATGACTTCCCACTTATTCCCCTAAGTGCTAGTGAAGACCGTGGAGATCCCAAGAACCCAGTCCTGCCCTCAAGGGGGGACGATGTAGTTGGGGCAGACAATTCGTGAATGCAGGTATGGGGCGTTGGACAATACTTGGAAACGTGGAAAATGTGTCAGGATAAGGAAGTGGCAGTGCTAGGGCTGATCACCCGGAAGAGAGGACACTCGAGGTCAGGTCTAGATGACAGCGAGCGCGCGTCAGAATGGGCAGAGTGTTATCTGAGCAGAGGGCACGGTCCGTGCAAAGGCCCTGGGGCGGCAGGACTGTGCCCAGCGTGTTAGAGGAACAGGCAGGAGGCCTGGGTGGCTGGAGCAGAGTGAGGAGGGGACGGGCCCGGTTGGGCTGGACCTGGCTTCGACCAGGATGGAGGTGGGAGCCCTGGAGTGCTCTGGGCAGAGGAGTGGCCTGATCCAGGGTGGGTTTCGTTTAAGAGGATCGCTCTGATGGGGATGTCAGGCCACCGGGCGGGGGCAAGGGCCAGAAGCCAGGTAAGTGCTGCTGGGCCTGAGGAGTCATGCTGTGGTGGTGAGCAGTAGCTGGGCTCGGGGTGTTTCCAAGTCAGGGCTGCCCGAGTCTGATGTAGGAGGTGAGAGAGAGAGAACCCCAAGAGACTCGTTAGGTTTGTAACCTGAGCAGACAAGGAAAGCGGGGGTGCTTAGGGGATGCCAGACGGGCTGCAGAGTGGACATTAGGAGCCTGGGCTTGGACAGGGCAAAGGGAGAGATGCCCGGTGGTCACCCAGGGCACGCATCCAAATACGTGGCTGGCTTCAGGTCTCCAGCGACGGCGGGGCGAGGGCTGGGAGCGCGACGGCAGTCTGGAGTGGACATTTTGGCTGTGTGCAGCACGCCCACCAGCTGTCGTGGTGACAAGGACAACTGGGCCCTGTGGACAGGGTGGTGGCGGATGCCGTGTGCTGGGGACACCACACACAACAAGGACACAGTCCTGAGAGTTCCCGCCCCAGGGGCAGATAAACAGGAAGTAAATGAACACCCACTGCACCTTCAGACGGTGCTGTGCCCGTGAGGACAGGAACTGCTGTGACGGGAAGTGACTGGGGGTGAGTGGGCAGGGGAGGCTTCACCAAGGGTCCCCGGAAGCTGAGGTGGAACGCAGGCCTTGTGCAAGGTTCTGGGCTGAGCGGGCAGAGGCCCTGGGGCAGGAGCCTGGCGGAGTGGTCAGAGGGCAGTGGAGACAGCATTGGGGTGCAGGTGGGAGATGACGACAGAGACGTCCCAGGGGCCACCCCAGCAAGGCCATGGTGAGGAGCTGGGTGTTATCTTAACGGCACTGGGGAGTCACAGGAGGGTTCAGGACGGAGGGGTGACAGGACCCACGGATGGCGTGCTACGTGTGCTCCCTCGTAACCTCGTGGGGAAGTTTGAACTGCTGCCTCCTCCTGAGACAGCACGCCCACCGTGGTACAACTGACTTGGAACTCGTGGCCTCGCCCCCAGGCCACAGGACACAGGACACGGCCAAGCCAGGACTGTATGCGCCTAAGTCCCTGAGGGGTGAGGGTATGTTGTGAAAGGTCACTGCTAAGAAGGCATCATCTCCCCACTGGACTCTCTCTCTCTCTCTCTCCAGATTCAAAAGGCCCAGCCGCCTCCGGAAGGGCAGCCGTGTCTGGACCAGGGCTCCGGTACCAGCGTGGAGGATGCTGCTGTCCAAGAGGTGGGTCTGGCACAGGGCTGGGGTCCCCCCACCCTGCCCGTGGGTCTCCACTCACCTCGCGCCGTCCTCCCACAGGAGCGGGATCCTGAGGCTCTGTCCAGGGTCTGTGGCCTCCTCCGGCAGCTGCACCGGGCTTACAGCGGCCTGGCCTCCAGCCTCCAGGGCCTGCCCGCCGAGCTCCAGCAGCCAGTGGGGCGGGCACGGCACAGCCTCTGCGAGCTCTACAGTGTGGTGGCCTCGGCGGGCTCTCTAAAGGAGGTGCACGCAGAGCGCCTGGGACAGAGCCTTGAGGACGTGCAGAAGGCGTGGCAGGGGCTGGAGCAGCTACTGGAGAGCGTGCAGCACAACCCCACGCTCAGCTGGCTGGTGGGGCCCTTCGCCTTGCCCCCAGGAGGGCAGCAGTTGTACGAACCTGCAGGCCCCAGCTCAGACCACCCGGCTCTGCCTAGGGAGGAGCTGCCTCAGAACCTTCTCCCCAGCCCCAAACCCTGATCGGTTCCCTAAAGCCCTAGACCCTCGGGGCTGCAGCTGGCTGGGCACTGAAGGGCTGCGGAGGCGGTGACCTGAGCTGAGCCACCCACGCCCTGCTCCAGGCTGCCCACACCTTCCACCTCCTCTCCAGCGATGCCAGCCCCTTTCCCAGCCTAGTAGCCCAGTGTCACTCACAGCTCCAGGCAAAAGCCTTCCCTCGAAGGCCCGTAGGGAGTACGGCAATTAGAAAAGCACGCCTAGGACGGCGACCCTTTGCACTCTAGCAATCCTTTTATACCTAGGGGGGCTCTTGCAGCCCTGCAGCACGCCCCCTCCCCAGCTCCCAGCAGCGCATGCACTCCTGTGGCCGCACTCTGTCCCTGCGCTCAGAGCGGGTCCTCAGGCCTTAGCACACCTTGAGTGTCTTAAGAACCACATTGTGGGCCGGGCGCGGTGGCTCAAGCCTGTAATCCCAGCACTTTGGGAGGCCGAGGCGGGTGGATCATGAGGTCAAGAGATCGAGAAACCCCGTCTCTACTAAAAAAAAATACAAAAAATTAGCTGGGCATGGTGGCGCGTGCCTGTAATCCCAGCTACTCAGGAGGCTGAGGCAGGAGAATTGCCTGAACCCAGGAGGCGGAGGTTGCGGTGAGCCGAGATCGCGCCATTGCACTCCAGCCTGGGTAACAAGAGCGAAACTCCGTCTCAAAAAAAAAAAAAAAAAAAAAAAACCACATTGTGGTACTAGAAGATAACCAGAAAATGCCAAAATGCCACCGTCATCCCAAGGCAGGCTACTACTGTCTCTGTTGACCCTGGTGTGGCCTCATGACAGGGACAAAGCTGCCAGGAACCACGGCAGCCAGAATGGGGGCTCTGCAGTGGCCTGACTTGGGACTGCGTGATTTGCAGGGCGGGGCGGGGGCTGCAAAAACCAGCAAACGGGCTGCTTCTGCCCGTGCCCCTATGGTTCTGAGGCTCCGGGAAGGCTGGGCCCAGCAGCTGCCACTGGAGAACACAGCATTTCCCAGCCGGGAAGTGCACCCCATGGAAGGAGCGGAAGGGGCTGGGAGCAGCTGTGGAGGTCGTGTGCTGGTGACGCAGCCCCTTCTCCCCTGCACGCTCCCCCCAGGGCCTCAGGGCAGTGTAAGCACTGGGCTGCAGAGGAAGCGGGGCCAGGGAAGCTGAGGGTATCAGAGACACTGGCAGCGGTAGACCCACCTGCCTGGCAAGGCTGCCCGACCCCATGCTCGCCGGCTGGCTCAGGCCATGGAGGCTGGCAGGCTCGGGTCGGGTGTGAGAAGCGCCCTGAGCTCAGCCCAGTGGGGAGAAGCCATTTAGCCCCGCCTCCCCAGGAAGCCGCAGCCCCTCTCACCAACTCTGTAAGAGAACTCTCCCTTCTGTCCTCTGCTAGGATCCGAGTCCAGGAACCCCAGACCTGGGGGGAGGCAGGGTGGAGGGGCTGCTGGCCCCCAGGGGTCACTGTGTGCACCAGAGGCCATGGCATTCGGCTCAGCTCTGAACCGGGGAAGCTGGCACGGCAGGAACAGCCCCAAGTGACGGGGCCATGAGAGGGGAGGATCAGGAGCCTTCCTGAGCCTTCCCTCCTCAGCCTCTGATGCCCACAGCCATGGGAGGCTAGGATGCCAGGCACAGCCACTTGCAGCCATCGTGCAGTGACTGACTGGAGCTAACGTCCGGCCCACCAAGCCTGCAGCCAGGGCAGGGCAGTCCCTTTCCGCCACACCACAGCCTGATTCTTGCTGGGACGGAGGTGACTCGGCCATGGAGAACAGAAGCACCAACACGAGAAGCCACTGTGGACTGAGAAACTTCGGTGCACAGTGTGACTCTCTAAGGGCCGTGCCCATGTGACAGGCCCCTTATGCAGAGGAGGAAGAGTTGCCCAAAGTCTCAGAGCCTGAGTGACACAGCTGTGGTGAGTCGAAGCTGGCCCCCAAGGCCCACACCCCCTGAACACTGGAGACCACGGACCCCTAGCAGTGGTTCTTAAGGAAGGCATGGTGTGGTTCTTAAGGAAGGCATGGTTTCTGCCTTCCCCACCTCTGCCCTACTCACAGTGGGGTGGGGGTGGCGCAAGGCTGAGAGGCCCTGGTTTCTCCCTCTTGGCTGCTGGGAAGGGCTTGCTCCTGCCCCACTCTCCCGCCACCGGCCTTTCGGGATTGGGCTGGGCCCGGAGCACCTTTCAGTTGCTTCACACGGTGGCCTTGATGGCTTAACCCAGTCCCCAAACGGGCGCAGTGATGTTGCCAACTGCTCCCACACTCGGGCCCCCGCTGCACCAGCACTGCTAGAAAACCAAAGCCAATAAAAGTGATTTCTGTTTCATTAAAAAACCCTTTATCATCATTTCATGGTGCTTGGAAATCACAGAAATTAGGCAGAAAAAAAACCCAAGGGACCAAATACAAACAGCACGGCGCTTCCCCACAGTTCTCGCTCTGCTCTCCCGCCAGCCAGGGAAGGAGACGGGCAACCTGCGGCGGGCTGAGCTGGGGCAGGGGCTGGGCCCTGGGGCCCTTGGCTCAGCTCTCCTCGTCCAGGGCCTCCGAGTCCCCCCGCGCCCTCTCGTGCTCCGGCCGGTCGCTCCCAGGCCTGTCCAGGTCAGGGCCCTCCCGCAGGCTGCTGGTGGGAACAGCAAAGGCAGTGTGAGAACGCCCTGCCCTGCCCTGCCCTGCCCCGCCTGTGGGGCGGTCGGGTGGGGACAGGTCCGGAGGAGTGTGCCCCATTTGTGGCACCTGAGGCTCGAGTACCAGCCTATCTGCCTGTCTTCTGGCACTAGAGACCACAAACATCTCCGGGGTCCACAGGCTGGACCATCCAGGCCCAGCACAAGGCAGCTGCTGGGTAAGCGAGGAACTCCACGCCTTGTGCCAGACAGCAGGCCACAGTGATGGGCACTGGCACTGTCAGGTGGCCGGGTGTCTGTGCTGAACGCCCACCTGGGCTACCCTCCAGGCTCAGCCAGAAGCTACCTTCCCAGGAGGCTGGGTGCAGGCAACCCACAGCCCTGGAGCTGCCTCGGTGGGAGGTCCCTGAGTCGGGGTGATATGCCTGGAACCCTTCCCAGAGGGACTGGCCAGGAGCAGCGGCTGGGACACAGGGTGCATGTCATGCCGCAGCCTCTCAGGAGGCTGCACCCCACCCCCGGGACACTCACTCGTGCAGGTCTTCAGAGGAGCCACATCTCGGCCCCTCCTCCGAGTCCTGACCCTCCTCATGCTCCTTGTCCTCCACGCTCTCCCCCTTCTGCGATGAGGCTTCGCCGTTCACCGGGGCAGAGAGATCTGGGTCAGACAGAGGTGTCACAGGGCACTGCTGGGCTCTGCCTGGGAACCCCAGAACCCTCCCTCCTCAAGTACTGGACCAGTGGCCAAGCTGGGGGCCGTGGACCTATGCGTCCCCATCCACCTGAACCACAGCACCTGCCCCCAAGTGCAGTGAGCTCGGCTCTCCATCTGGTCTGCAAGCTCCCGCAAGGAGGGCCGGGCTCTTCATGGTCCCATCCTGTAGCCCGCCCCAGCCCCAGCCCCAGCCACAATGGCCTGGACAACTGGGGGCCCAAGAAATGATGGAATGCAGACAGCTCTGGGAGAAATCCACAGCAGCCTGGAAGAGTCAAAGCAAGATGAGGCCAGGCACGGGGGCTCACAATCCCAGCACGTGGGAAGCCAAGACTCAAGGATGGCTTGAGCCCAGGAATTCAAGACCAGCCTGAGCAACATGGCAAAAACCCTGTCTCCTCAAAAATTATAAAAATCAGCAGGGCATAGTGATGTGGGCCTATAATCCCAGCTCCTCAGGAGGCTGAGGTGGGAGGATGGCTTGAGCCCAGGCCGGCAAGGCTGCAGAGAGCTGTGATCGTACCACTGCACTCCAGCCTGGGGGAGTGAGTGAGACTCCAACATGGGGGGAAAAAAAAACCAGCCTTTGGCTGCCCCTGGGCCATGAAGCCCCATCCCAGGCACCCCCATCTCACCTCCAAAGGGCTGCTCTGAGCACCCATAATGGAGCCATGCCAGCCCAGCAGCCCTGAGGGACATGCCCCATCTCCTGTCAGCCCACCAGGCAAGCAAAGGCACCCACCCTAAGGTTCTCACCCGCAAACCTCCGCTGACTGCCTCTCTGAAGAATCCCTGACTCTGCCCCTGCTGCACGGAGCGCCCCCCCCATCTACAGGCGTCCTGAGCCTGGAAGCAGTGGAGGCGTGTGTGATGCACTGTCCCTGTCACCCTTCCGGCATGAGCCCCAGGTGGCCGGCACCGTAGCTGCCCAGCACACAGTGGGGCCTGAACACCCCTCATTAGCTGCCCCAAGGATGAAAGCTGGGTCTGCACGGAGACCCCTAAAGGGACACAACACTGGCGGGTTCAGGGCAGAGAGCAGAGCTGTCCTCCCCTTCTAGAATGTTCTGCAAAGCACCTGTTTCTTCAGCGGAGAAGACCGAGGTTCAGGGCCCGCCCTGCCTGCCCCACCTGCCCCTTACCAGTGCTGGGCTTGTCCTCCGCCTTCTCCTGGGGGGCCTCCTCCCCAGCTAGCTCCTCCCCGGGCAGCTTCTCCTCGGCTTTCTCCTTCTCTGTCCCAGCCTTGTTCGCTTTCTGCACCGCCTCGATCTTTGGGCCCAGGACCCTCGACTTGAGCCGGGTGTAGACTTCTGCCGCCTTCTCCATCACATCCTTGTTTGCTTTGTAACGGCGAATCTGGCCACCAGGAGAAGAGGTCTGGCTCACCCAAGTGCGGCCGGCCCTAGCCCTGGCCTGAGCCCCACCCCCGGCAATGCCACCCTCCGGAGGCACCTCCCGGGAGCACAGCTCTGAGCTTTATTTTTTTTGAGATGGAGTCTTGCTCTGTCACCAGGCTGGAGTACAGTGGCACGATCTGGGCTCACAGCAACCTCCACCTCCTAGGTTTAAGCGATTCTCTTGCCTCAGCCTCTTGAATAGCTGGGACTACGAGCGCCCGCCACCATACCCGGGTAATTTTTACTTTTAGTACAGACA